CCCCAAAACCCCAAAACCCCAAAACCCCACCTAGTCGATGATTGAGAAATACAGAAAATTAATGCTTTAAATATTAAATATTTCCACCATGAATTGGAATAATAAGAATCGTACAGAAATGCTCAGATTGTTGTGAGCTCAGCTTCCTTTCTATCCTTGTATTCCTCATAAAGGTGCTTTAAGTGCTCAAGAGCCTTTCTTGGATCAAGGCCTTTGGGGCAGGTTAAAGAGCACATACCGATTTGATAGCACTCTCCTAATTTCATATCTCCTCCGATTTTCTCGAGTCTCTCGTCAGTGTACTCATCTCTTGAGTCAATAACCCATCTGTAGGCTTGCATGAGAACAGCTGGACCGAGATAATCTTGAGGGTGCCACCAATAAGATGGGCAAGTAGATTGACAACAAGCACAAAGGACGCACTCGTAGAGACCATCAAGTAGCTTTCTATCTTCAACTGATTGATAGAACTCTCTTTGACCTGGTTCTTTTGGTGTCTTTCTCTTTAGATAAGGGTCAATATATTTATATTGAGCGTAGAAGTGAGACATGTCGACTACGAGATCCTTAAGAACAAACATGAACATAAGTGGTGAGACAGTTGATTTATCGGTATTTGTTTTATTGATTGGGCAAATGCAAGCCAAATGATGTCTACCATCAATATTCATGGCGCATGATCCGCAAATTCCCTCTCTACAACTTCTTCTGAATGAGAGTGTTGGGTCAATTTCGTCCTTAATTTTGATGAGAGCATCGAGGAACATAGGACCACACTTTTGCATATCGAGGTAATATGAGACATACTTTGGTCTATCTTCGGGATCGTTGGGGTTTGATCTGTAGATATCAAATCTCTTAAGAGCCTTCTTTTATTCATCACTAAGACCTTGTTCGTATTCTACGGTATAGTTTACCTTGAAAATTTCACCAACATCACCAATTGAAGTTTCAGCACCATCAGGTTATGCTCTTACAGCGAAATTTCTCTGCTAAAACTGGCTAAGTCCAAAAGCAGGTCTGACATATATGCTCTTAGATGAGCGTGATAGGTGCTTGAAGAGTTGCATTTCTTCTTTATAATTAATAATTATAATATTGAAGAGTCACTCTTATTATAACAAATGATAAATTTATATAATTAATTAGAATACGTACAATCTACCTCATTAGAATATCTAGCGGGGTTTTGGGGTTTTGGGGTTTTGGGG